CGCCCGGGGCGCCCCGGGAAGCCCCCGCCGCCGGAGCCCGGCGCCCCCCCCCCGCCGGCTTCCCCCGAGGCTTTCAAAGCTGTGGAGGGGCTCCGGCGGGGGGGCAGCCCATGCGCACCTGGGATGCCCCGCCGCCGGCTTCCCCCGAGGCTTTCAAAGCCGCGGAGGGGCTCCGGCGGCGGGGCATCCGGCGTACAAGACGACCCCCGATTTTTGGGGGATGTTTTTTAACATCAGAGGTCGTCTTGTACGCCGGAATATACGGTATTACCTATTCTTATTAAGACTAGGACCATTTTTAGCTTGTAGGTGAATCATGAACTAAGTAACCTGTTTCTGCACTCTTATCCCGGAACTCAGTATGGGTTGTTTTCCTTTTGTAGATAGCATGGACACACACATACAAATTAGTGCCTTTCTTTTGAAAGTTTACTCAATGCTAATTGAAAATTATTGCAAAAAGATTTCATATCTGTTTATCCAGATATTTAATTATGTTTTAAATATTCTATGATAATGTCTAAGGACCATATCTCAGTCACTTCAGTGGGATTACACAGATTGTAAATCAGGCTGATGTTTGGCCAACAAATTTACTCATTCTGTACTGCCTCTGGTCAGAACCAGAACTGACATGCTGACTCTGTAAAATTTTCCAGCATAAGTTTGGTCAGATCAGATTGTAGTGTACAAATCTATAACTATAGAGTACTTTTAGATTAAAGCAAATGCAGAATTAAGTCTGCTTTAATTTTAGTCAATTTAGCTCGTTGTAGTAATAGAAGTACTATGTGATTTAAGCCTGTAACTTGTTGGATGGGCCCTTGGCTAGTAAAATCATACATTGGGGGAAGGGGGAAAAAAGGAATTGGGACATTTTATTGGAAGATATTAATATAAAGTCTATAAAAACAGTTAATCCTTTGTTTAGAAAACATTTCTAGGCATGGACACTTACCATTCCATACTTAACCTTCCTTGTTTGGGAAATGTTATTGAGGCTGCTGTAGCAGCTGGAGTCATATGACTTCCTTCACACGGTTCAGACCAACATTAGGCTTGTTTGTGGCATGAGGACTAAGCTAGACAGACCAATCCATCTCATAACAATGGACAAGCTGATTCTATTTGATTTATCAATACGGGTGTGTCTACACTATAGAGTTTTTTTCGGAAAAACAGCCGTTTTTCCGAAAAAACGTCAATTACATCCACACTGCAATCACTTTCTTCCGAGAGAAAATTGAAAGAACAGGGAATTTTCTGAGATTGGTAATCCTCATTCTATGAGGAAGAAGCCTTTTTCCGAAAGAGTTCTTTTGGAAAAAAAAGGCATGTATGGACGGGTAAGAGGGAGTTCTTTCAAAAGAAGAGGAAAGCGGAAAAAGCACAAGTTCCCTGGTGGCCACTCCATCCATAATAATCACAGCTGAAATGCGAGATAGTGTCCATTCAGTGTGGATGCTATCTTTTGAAAAAGCAGATTGCTTTTTTGATGTGCTTTTGCAGTGTGGATGCTTTCTTTCGGAAGAAGTTTTTCTGGAAAAGCTTCTTCTGAAAGAAGCCTGCATTCTAGACATAGCCTAACTTTAAAAATTGCTGACCTGAGGTTTTCATGGAGATTAGTAAGATCAGAATTATATTTTATGAGATCAGTTCCTATCTACTGGAGAAAAACCACAGGGAGAATCCTATTCTTTCTCCCCTCTTCTACGATGTGTATGTGAGGAAATGAGGACAATAGTGAGATGGCTTGAACTGCCTTACCATAAATATATGGGTGACATTCAGCACTGTTTCTTTCATTAAACGTAAGTAGTATGACGAAATTTGCTTTCTTAGTTGTCTGGATTATAGCAAATTGGCTACATCTTATTCTAGACAAGACAATGGTAATGCTGAAGGACAGAACAAAGTATCTGGGGGAAGTGATGAGGGGGTTATCTGTCTTTTTATTGAAGATATACATGAATTACAGCCTTGACATCTGATCCTGCTCTCCGAAAAGTCAATGGCCAAACTCTTATTGACTTCAATAATGTAGAATCTAGGATTTAGTGAGATTTGTAATTGGGGAGGCGGGGGGAGGGGGGATGTAGGAGGGTCCATTTGAATCCTTGACTACTTCTGAGGCTCAGTAGAAGTAGCCAGGAGAAGGGTTTTTTTTGTCTTATCTTGCTAGGAGATTGCAGATTTTCCTAATGATGCAGATTTCATTCCAGTATATCTTGGTGTCTGCCAGATTGAATTATTTAAATATGCTTTGAATGGAGTTACCACTGAAACTTGAAACCATTCCAAAAATTTAAAATTGGACAATTGCTAATATCCACACCCTGAAGTATAATAGTGACACCTAAATCTGATAGCTGCTTTTATAGTAAAGATCATAGTCAAATACAGTATATTTGAACAACATAAATGACCATTTCAACAACAGGATTGTAACTTTAATTTTAATTCATTTGTTTCTTTCCCGGATAAGATTTTTCTTTATGTTGCTGTGCAGGTTGGCTGTTCAGATGGAAGTATTAGATTGCACCAAATGACATCAGAGCATCCCCTCATACAGTGGAATGACAGCACAAATGGACAGCCAGTTATTGCTCTACAGTGGGCTCTCACAAGACCTGCTGTGTTTTTTGTTCTGGATGCATCATCTAGTGTTTACATTTGGGATCTACTGGAAAACGACCTGTGTCCTGTAGCCAAACAAATTATTCAGTCAGATAAGTAAGTAAATTAAATGACTTTTACTGGATGTATACATTTTCTTGCTGCTATAAGATAGCAACATTACATTGAATTTGTCTTTTTGCTAAAGTTTGAGGGTTTCTTTTGCTGAATTTATTAATATATGATTAATCCAATTTCTTTAAGTCAATTGGATTAATCATATGATTAAATAAAGCATATACTTAAATGTTTGGCTTACTTAGAGCCAAAACACTTAGCATCTTACAAGATCAGAAAAGACAGGGAAAATATGAAGAGTCGAAGAGAGGGACACTATTAAATTAGATATATATTGTACACATTTTAATATATATATAAATATTTTTTGATTATTTTTTCTGAGTGTAAACAGGAAACTTTCACATCTGTGCCTTTAGTTTTAAATATTACAGTACGTTGTACAAAGAAACTGAGCCTGATAAGAATCTGGCTAGGATTCCTGGTTTATGTAAGATTTTTGGAAAAATCAGTGTAAAATAAACATCATTTTAAAAAGCTGCTACAATTATTTTTGAAATATTGTATAATAATAGCTATTTTACTTGAACCAATGTTTAAAGCATGGCTAGAAATTAGATCACATGAAGGCTGTGAACTAAGATAAAAATTCCCCCTTAAAATATATGTATGTGTGTGATTGCAGCTGATTGGTCATTTTCTTATTGCTTGCCATAGCATAATACGTTTCTCTATATTTCCATTTGTGGCATTTTACCTGTTTTGGTAGATAATACAGTTATTTACAATTTTTCTTTATAAAGCTTTTGAGTACATATTGGAGGTTGATAAATAAACTGGTTTCAGGGATTTCTAGTCAATTCATTTTGTCTCAGGGATTTCTAGTCAATTCATTTTGTCTCAGTAAAAAATCCCTCTTATTTTGCTTTCAGAGTTATGACTATGGTTGTATTGGGTGAACCAGAAAAAACAAATGGTCTGTTGGGGATTGCATTGGCCAAACAATCTGGGATAATCGACATTCAGTATGTAAAGAAGAAGTGGGCATTACCTCAGTCAGAAGAGTCAGAGAAGCTCCAGTTGCTCTTGCAACAATTCTTATAAAACTGATAAATTGTCTTTTGCTCTATGTACAAATATGGCTGGCTGTATTTGCTGTACTTAAAAGATTTATAATTTAAGAGCTTTTGCATTTGTAAATATAGTGTATATATTTCACAAGAATGTCAGTACAGTATTTCAATGGAAGATACCATATTTTTGTTAATTATAAAAATGACAGAACAGAGCTTGGCAAACATTGTATCTGAACAAAGATTAATTATATTTCCTTCCAGATTATGAATATTTATTGGTAGTTTTCAGTAAAATAGTGAAAATATATTAATTTAAAATATGATATGCTACTTCTCAGTGTTACATTTTGAAGCACACTGTAGATATTTTAAAGTTCATATCTTCTGTATAAAGCTAAATATATGCTTTTCTAACACATAAAAGGTTGTTCAGGTTACCTTTGGAAATGTCTCAACCTCTCCACAGCTGTCACCTGTTCATTTGTGCATAGGCTGCTAGACCATACCCCAATGTGGAGATACTTGCATAGAGACCAGAAAAACACCCTGGCTGACCTTTGTTGAGTGTCTTCTTCATTCTCCCAATTTGGTAGGGTTTGTCCTTAGCAGGAGAAATGGGGCATCTGTCCCTCAAAACCTGTGGAAGTTCAGTATCTGCTATCCACAAGGAGGCCCTGTACCTCTGCACTGATTCTGGGTATCCTTCATCTCTGTTCATACTAACTTGACTCCTCAAGTGGCATGGGACCTTTGGGTCCCTTGTTATAGATGTTCCCAGCATGTATGGGCTCTGCAGAACTTATTCAGCCCCAGGTTGTATTAAGTTGCCCATGGAATGTCTGCTGACCTTCTCCTAACCTTACATCTGCATTGAGTCCTGTAAAAAATCTAAAAGGTGTGGGGACTGCAACTATGGAGATTTGGGGTTTAGACTCTTGTCCCTTCTAGCCCTATGTTTCTATAAGTCAATGTCCATTTACACCAATTTATAATCCTTTATACACTAGTAAGTAGACATAAGTAGGTCTGAGTCTAAAAGAATCTGACTTTGACCCTAAGAATTTGCCAAATTGCTAGTTATTAAGTAGGTCCCACATACATACATATGCTTAGGATGTGCCGGCCTTAGGTTTTCTGGTTTTCCAAACTATGCAAATAATCTTAATCCATTTACCAAAACCCTTGGACCAATGGAATATTCAACTCTTTCCAAGATAAACTATATCCATTTATTGCTACAGTTATATAATTGTAAGATAATTACCAAATTCTCCTTTATAGAGGGAAGAATAGATTTGTCTTTAATAACCATTTTTATTGTCCTAGTTTAATTTTGGGCTGGATTTGCTGCACTGTCGAGACTCATCGTGGAAAGCTTCAACTCAAAAGTAGTATGTTTGGAAAAGTTATGCGCTACTCAAAAAAATCAGGCTGGAAATTATACCTCACTTCTTGCTCAAGAACTGATTGTCCCTACTTTGAAAATAATAATTAAACACCTAGCCCTTATATAATATTTTTCATCAGTAGATCTCAAAGCTGTCTGCAATATTGAATGTATTATCTTCACCATACCACTGTGAGGAAGGGAAGTGGAATTATATCCATTTTTACAGATGGAGAATTGAAGCACAGAGAATCAAAATGTCTTGCCCCAGGTCATACAGACTGTCTATGGCAGAACAGGGAACTGATAACTGGTCTCTCAAGTCCTAGGCGAGTGGCCTAACCATCTTCCTCTCTAATAGTAAGAATCCAGTGTACAGATTTTTAGTGTTTCCTCCCAACCGAAGCTGAAATTGTTTTGGAGTTCTAACTCATTGTTTTACAGTTCACAAAAGAAAACTAGGTGTTTAGAATCTCTTGTCACTTTAAATGAATAAACTCAAACTGGCCACGTGGTGGTGCCAAACGCTTAGCAGTAAAAATGGCTGGGTATAAAAGATACACACTGGTATGAGAACAAGTTTGCTTCTAGGCATGTAGATTTAATTAAACTGTTCACTTTCCTTGAAAAATAGTAGCTGGAACCCAGAGACACAGGAAATGCCACACTCATCGGAGAAATCATTGACACTGTCATGGTTCCCTGGTCTGTTACCTGTTCTCATCTATGCCCACAGTGGGGAAATTGAAAAGCATAAGGATTTTCACTGTCCTGATGGACCTCTGGATTTCTCTCTGTCATTTTGAAAACAAAATCACCTTAATAATATAAGCTTTTCTGAGAAAAAGGAGGATAAATGATATTCTTGTTATTGTGGTGAGGATCAAGAACAAGTTTCTTTGTACTTTGGATGGGATCTTCTTGTCAACCTAACTGTCATGTTTGAAGCATATATCCCGACCTGTGGCATTTTGAAAGTTCTGAAAGTTTTGGACGCAATTTTGAGAGCCTGGGAATCCTGCAAAATCCCATGTTTTGTCCAAAAAATCTGATGTAAATCTGCTCTGCTAGATACAGCAGCTCTAGAGATCAGTGACTGAAGTAGTGAAATCTTTTAACATCATCTTTCTCTAGTTTCAGGAATCAGGACAATGAACAAATGGTAGCTGCTTCTTGTGATGAGGTCGGAAACCATGACTGTCAGGGTGCAAGGCACAAGAAATCACCTAAGGCGAACACTTTCAAATGTAGGGACCTACATTGATATTTAAGGACTTAAACAGAAACATTCTGATTTTTAGATGTGCTGAGCACTTTCACCCCTCAGCAACTTTTAATTGCAGTCTTACATCTTAGACCCCATGGCTACTGCCAAACTTTTGCATTTAACCTTACTTGTGAAAAATTGCTTAGGTTCAACAGTATTGCATGATTATTTTTCCCATGTGTGAAAAGTATAATGCATGTTAAGACTGATAGATACCAACACCTTCCAACCATTGTTATAACATCAAGCAAGAAAAAAACGTGTCACCACCATATTTCACAAATTACCTTACTTTTTGTGTTTAAAATCCTATTTTCATCATATTGTTCATTATTTCACTATAGCATGGGTCAGGAGCACTAGGTGCTATACAAATATGTTGCAGAACATGATCCCTGCAACAAAGAGTAGGTTCTAAAGCCTTGGTCTTGCACCAGCAAAATCACTGGGAGTACTGCTATTGGCTTCAGGGGCAGACGTTAATTTAAGATAATAAAAAGTGAATGTAAGAATAGAAGGGAACGATGATTACTGAGGGTAACTGACAAAATCATGTTTTGATGCATGCCCGCTATGTCATAACTTGATTATTCTGAAAAATAAAGCTGTCAGCAGTCTCTACTGGTCTTCTACCTAGTCATCAGAAGAGCATGAAATAGGTTTATGCTCAAGTTTAGGGAAGGTGTTCCATGCTTATTGACCTGCCATGCTCTATCAGACCAAAGGTCCTTCTAAATCACCATCACCCTCATGCTTCCAATGATTGTCAAAGGAATTTGTCACTGGCATCAGTAGAGCCAGGAGTTCAGAATGTTTTAGAGGATCAATAGTATACCCGGACAGCTGTGAAATGTGGTATCCCAAGGAAAGACTCCTTCTTACCCCTTTCATTCTTTAATCAAATATTTCATGTCTGTTCTTAGGCAAGGTCTACACTAGACCTGGAAGGACACTTTAAGGTACACAACTCCAGCTATGTAGAATACATAGCTGAAGTCGGCTTATCTTAAATCAAGCTTGGTACCATCGCCACTGTTGGAGGTTGATGGGAACAAATGCTTCTGTCGGCTACCCTTACTCTTCACGACTGCGAGGAGTACAGATGCCAGCTGGAACTGCTCTCAGTGTTCAATTTACGGGAATATACAGTGAAAGCTTTGTTATCCGGCATTGCTCCCGGCCACAATACTGTCAAATCTTCAGGTGCACAAACCTGGCTTAGTTTACCATGATTGGCTTAACAGTTTTTTATTTAAGAAGTACTAATCATCTTTAACTCAAAATAGAAATGTGAGACCAACTGCCTCCCACCACAAAACTACCAATATTAAAAACTTGAGTTTTACTATTATTATCCATTCGTTTTTCCTAGGTTGATGGGACCCTCAGATAATTGGAATTTTTAGATAACCAGAACACCCTAATCCCCAAGAGTGCTGGATAACACAGGTTTTACTGTACTAGACCCATTAAATCAAATGCCAGAACATTGGTCTCCAGCACAGCGAGTGAAGATGTGCCTTTTTTTTCACTTGATCCTTTAACGGATCTTGTATACATACATATGATTTTTAATCAAAAGCTAAAAATTGCTATTGTGCAACCTTTCAAAACAGCCCAAGATGAATAAGTTACTAATTTCACACTTCTGTAATGTTGTATATTATTTTATATATTATTACTATCTTCTGTGATTAACATAAATAAATTTTTTCCATCTTTACTTAGTAGAAAACTACCATTTAAAAGTGGTACCAAAGTTTGAATACTATTTATCCATGCGAAACTTGCATAAAATGTTACATTCTGCTTTCAAACCAGCAACTCCCAGCCAGCAGGGCATGAAAATAAAAATATCCTAAATTGCCAGCAAGATAGACAAAATTTGCATTTTTGGACAGGACCTCTGCTTATTATTTCTTTTTGCTTAGAACATACTTTAAAGGCTTTCTCTGTAAAATAAACACTTATATTATTTCCATTATATTACCTCATCCTAGAGATAGGAAAATAGTTTTTAGAAGTTGAGATAATAAGATAATTGAGAAAGAATAGCTCTCAAACCTTTCAAAATCTGAGGATGCTTTATGGCAGGTTTTCTAAAAAATAGTTTGGAAAGTGTTTTATCAATTTGTCATACTATTTTTGGAGATAGGATTGGGAAAATAAGAAAAGAATGATTTTCTCATTTTATGTTGGAATAGATTCTCCTTTATCCTTCTGCCTACTATAATCTAGGTTTTTAGTACAGGCAGTCCCCGGGTTACGTACAAGATAGGGACTGTAGGTTTGTTCTTAAGTTGAATCTGTATGTAAGTCGGAACTGGCATCCAGATTCAGCCGCTGAATCTGGACACCAGTTCTGACTTACATACAGATTCAACTTAAGAACCCCAGGCGTCCCCAAGTCAGCTGCTGCTGAAACTGATCAGCAGCTGATTCCAGGAAGCCCGGGGCAGAGCAACTCTGCCTCGGGCTTC